TAAAGTTTTTTTGCACCGCAGGAATTTTTACGTATGTCAGCTTGTTTTACACGCTACTGTTATGCAAATTTAATTGTTAGATAAGTTAATTATCTTTTATTTATTTATTGCAAAAGTTTGACTAATTGAAATCATACAAAAAAATAATGCCCTACGGCTGTGATTATGGTAGTTATTAAAGTTAATATTCAGTGATATGACAATTTTTTAAGATCTGTTCGTGGATAAAACAGTATAAAACACAGTATCACAGTTCAGATTAGTCTACACTAATTGTACGTAATATTTAAACCACAATTAACTATAATTAGTAACATTTGCATTAATTTTATCGCAAATTATGTCTGAGCAAAGATTTTAAATCATTTATGAATGTATACGACGTCAAAAACCGAAAAAAATATTTTGAAAATTCAAAATTAATTAAAAAATAATTTTTACGGTAAAATGCATGTAAAATGTAGGCAAATTATATAGAACTTTAATGCTTTGAAAGTGATTATTAAATTTTTAAATAGAGTCTTTATCATTGAGAAAGGAATTTTTGAGTAGAAATGGAATTAAGTACTAATAATAATTTTTAAATATTCTAAATTAATAATATAAGATAAAAAGTATTTTTGAGAAAGATTCTGGGAAATTATTAGGAAGAAAAGTCAAAATAACATGCAAATTTAAATGCCAAACAGAACATAATTATTTTGTTATTTTATTTCTTAAAAAAATTCAACTAAACTTTCAAATTCTATTTTAGATGCCTTTTGGTTTGGATACAAATTGAATAAATTGTATTTAATTTGTTTAATTCTTAAAATATTCTAAAATGTGCAAAATAAAATAAGTAAAACAATATTAGTAAATGATATTGAAAAAAATTAAATATTAGTAAATATTTAATTTTTTTCAATATCATTTCTAAAATTATCTTTAGCTAAATTATGTTAGTTCCAATATTTTGTTTACTTTCAGTACTAAAGAAGAATTGTAATTTATCATTCGCATACAATCCAGTTTTAGTATTTTTTTTGAATTTAATTTTGTTAAACTTTTGAAGGTCAATGCGTTTTTTGCTAAAAATATAAGTCTCATTTTGAGTCAAAAATTTATTACTCAAAGACTTTAAATCAATTACTGCTCTAAAAAATTCCAAAATTTACTTGATTAAAACTATAATATCACTAACTTTAATTGCTTTTTGATAGACAGTAATCTCCTTCTTTAATTTATTTTTTGAAGATTAATTCTTTATTACATCTTAAAATACTGCAGTCATAAGATTCTAATATAAGTCTATCATTAAGAATGAAAATAATACAGATTGGAAGATTTACTTTAAAACTGTATTAAAAAATAAAAAATTTAACGGTTGTTTAGTTTTTCGTAAAATTCAATTAAATTTAAATCATTTTTGTTGGAAAGATTTTCATTTTTATTTTTCGATTAATTCAATCCTTCGTTTCTCGCCCCATTTTTTATTATTTTCAATGCCTAATATTATGATATTATAAATTTTATCATTCGCGTTCGTTTATTCACTTAGTATTATATTATTATCGAATTACTCCTTTAAATTTTATTAAGTATTTTATTTCCTTTTAAACTATTTTATCATTTTAGATTTTTGATTATGAAAATGGCAAAGACAGAATGTCCATTAAATGATAATAATTCAAGTTCATCCAATGCCGTGAAACTTCCTAAATTTGAACTTGCTATTTTTGCAATTCAGTAAGTTATGTTTGTTTTTTTGTCTTCTATTTTCTTAAACTTCAAACTTAAACGATTTAAATTATGATCTTTCAAACGTAATGCATAGATTTCAAGTCTAATGCGTGTATTTCAAGCGTGAAGCTTAAGTAACATTTAGTTTATTCCAATTAATGCTTACGCTCTTTAGACTTCAAAGATAACTTTCAGCTGACTTAAATTTTAATTTATTCAAAACAAAAATTGTTAACTTTTGATAGTAAAAGTGAGACCTACTATTTTTTATAACTTTTTTTGTTATAAAGTGATGGATATTATTCAAATAATTTACTACCGAAGTCGTTATGCGAAATCAGATGTACACTTATGAATTAATACTTATTTGAGAAGATAACTGAAGTACTCAATGCTTGAAGTTCTAATTTCAAATTACTTGAAAATTATTAGTGCATACAGTTTTGGAACTGTAATTTGCATATATCCAAAAAGTAATGTAATAATTAAAAAGTATTAATAGTGAAAATATTGCGATAAAAATTTACCAATTTTCAAGTATAAATTTGCAATAAGTTTTGAATTTGAGAAGTTCTCTAAAATAATTAAACAATCGTTAATATCTATTTTAATATTTTAAATCAAATCGCAAATTTGATTAACTATATCATAAATTTCTTCATAATACCTTGTTGAACATTGATAAAAGTTGTTTTAAAAGTTCAATGTTCAATGAAATTATTCTTAATATAATAATTTAATAGTAATTTTTATGTTTAAAATATTTGCAATGCAAAAAGTGATTTTCAAAAAATTAAATATACAAAAAGTTTAAAGGTAGTGAAGGAAAGAATATGCAAATGATAACAGTTGTTACAGCAACTAGTGATGCTCAATTATTATCACTACTATTATCAGAAAAAAATTATAACTTGCAAATTTATTTTATCCATTTTATATTTGATGATTTTATTGTTTTGCTCATTTTAGACCATATCAATAATCATAATAACTGATATTAATCAGATAGTTTGAGCATTCAAATTTGAAAATATATTTTTAATTCCAACATTTAATTATTTTATAGTCAGATGATCATTTTTAAACGTGAAATAAACGTAATTTATACTTCATAAGCCTTAAGTAATCGAAAATTACATAATAATCATAATTAATATTCGCATTTATTATGCTGAAAATTTTTGCATAATTCGTTCAAAAACTTGAATATTTAAATTATTTATTTGTTAACAAGTGGTCTGAATTGTCCATTTAAAAAATTTTTTGTTCAATTCACTTATCCAACGTGTCTGTTTCCTTGCATATTTTGACTAGTCGAAGAATATATTTATTTAATTAGCTCCAACAATGTTTTTCGATTCTTATTTGAAAGTTTTGTAACTTCTAGCAAAATTTTTGCTTTTTAATAATTTCGTACTCAAAATTAAACTATACAATTTTTGATAATTTTTAATTTTATCTTTCTAAAAAATGAAATTACAAAACTTTCAAAAAATTTTATAAATTTTGAAATTTTTATTTAAATTTGTTAAGATTTTAATTTAATTGAATGTAATTATTGGATTTGCGCGATAAGCACTTATTGTTATGTGAAGATTCAGAATAAGATTTTTGAATAAAAATTATTTTTAAAATTTATTTAAAATTTCCAGCAATGACTTTTAGCTGTCTTCAATGTATTACACACCATTTTTTTCTGCGTAGAAACCTGATTTGTTTTAACAATTGTAAAGGTAATTTTATTTCGAATTCTGCAGATTCTAAACAACTTAAATTTTAATCTGTTACATTTTTTCAAGAATGTAAACAGAGAATACTGTTTAAGCGAATAATACTTTTCATTGTCTATTATTAAGTGAGACTAAATAACTGAATTTTAAACTCATTATTTTGAGAATCTGAAATATTTCTGATATTAATATTCAGTTTTTATAGACATACTTTCATCAATTATATTTAAAAATAATAATATTCTATTGCAAATAATTTGAAAAAAAATTAGTTCTAATTTTTGAAATTTTAATATCAAAAGTCAGTTATATTTTAATTGAATGTTTTGTGAATTCATAATGTTGCAGGAAAAAATTCCAAAAAATTACTCCGCCAAAATTAAAACTGCTACGAATGCTGTCAGATGCACACGTTGCATCAGAAACTGTCGAGGAATCTTCTAAAAAAGATTCTAAAACTAATGCAACAAAAGTATCAGCAATTCCTATAAATACAAACTATGTGAAGAAGAAACTTATGAATGTAACTAATTCTCAAGATCAAGATCAAGATCAGATCGATCCATTATTAAAAGTAAGACAAATTACAACACCTGACATGTGCGATTCATGTTGTTATCGAAGTAAAGTTTCACAGAATGCTAAGCTATGCAAGGAAAATGCTAGCAATAAAAAGAATGAAGTAATAGTAGATGAAAATATTGTTAATGGCAAGGATCAGATGGATTTAGTGCTTAAGAGTGAAATAAATCCGAAAGAGATTGAGATTAAACGTGAAAAAAGTCAAGAAGATAATAAGAGCAAAGCTGAAACTAAAGTTAAACATTCAAATGACTTAGCTATTTGTGCACAATTTGGACACAAGCGCCCTCTAACTTCCAGAATCCCTGCATTGGATTTGTTTGTTAAGAACGATCAGAATCAGATTCATCTTGCTAATCCATTAATGGGAAGCAAATTATCCTTCTTAAAAGCAGATGAATCAATTACCACTGATAAAATTTTGGATTCTACTGATTTCGTTAAGAATTATTCTACAGTAAATAGCAACAGTATTTCTTCTGATATTAAAGATTCTGCTTTCAACAAAGTTTGTAATTCCAAGATAGAAGCAAATTCAACAGAAAATATGAAATTAAACAAAGAAAAGCCAAGTTTATCGCAAGAAAAAGTAGAAATAGAAATCATAGGAGCGCTAGAATCCTCAGATATGCAAAATTTGCAAGTAGTAAATTTGGTTCAGAAGTCATCAAGAGAAGATCTATATCGAACTGCTGAATCTACGAAGCATACAACCAGCAAATTAACGGGAACAGATTCAGTTCAGGAGGAAGAACAAATAAATTTAATGCGAAATCCTGATGAATCTGATATTACTATTCTACAAACAAATACTGAACTGCAATCTGTCGAAAACGTAGAAAGTGTAAAATCAAGCAACTTTTCTGTGACACAGAATTTGAATGAAGATTCAAAGACTATAAACGCTTCCTTAGGAGATTCTGATTCTGATCAGGCTTGTTTTTTGATTTCAATATTCTTGAAAAGAGGCTTTTATGGTATAACTAAGATGATCATTTTAATCTTTAAATCCAAAAATACATTAAGCTTTATTGCTTGTTACAGAAGTCACAGATAGCACCAAACTATAATGAAGTCGGAATTTATGAAAATTGTGCTAATATGGAAACCAATAAGCAATTTTCTCAAAGGTTTGCTTAGCTTTATGTAAACCAAAAGATTCTAAAAGTTATGATTTTAAATTTGACCAATTCATTTGAATTATTTGCATTTAGTATCTTCAAAAGATTTTAATATCTTAAAAGTTTTTGTATACAAGTATTTGATTTGATATTTTAAGTTATTTATTAATTTGCGCATTATCATATATTTTAACAATGATAACAAAAACAATGATAAAAAATCTGCAATAAATAACCCAAATAAATAGTTTGGATATATTAATGATAATTCATAATGAATAATCAGTCCCTAAGAGTTCAGTAGAATAATCCAAAATTATTCTAATTTTTTAAATATTATCATTACCATTGATGGTCATATCTTTGTTATGCTTACTGTAAAGATTATCAGCATCATTATCAGAGGCTTTATTACTGATATTGTCCCACAAAGTAGTAAGTATTATTATTACTGAAATATTATAACTATCTTTTGTTTGGTACGAATTTTTAGAAATTTTTGTGTATTTTTTTAAACAGTGAAATTTACAAATTTTGTATAATTGTTTAAATTGTGAGATTGAATAATAATCAAAAGATCACAAAAAATTATTCTACTGTAATAATTAATTCGAATATATTAGTTATTAAGTCAATAAGTCCTTAAATTATTAATTCATACGCCATGAATATGAAAAAGTCCATTTTATTTTTAAGTCATTTTTGCATTTAAAGTTTTGTTAAGATTAAATTTATGATTTTTTGCTAACTAAGAATCACTCTGCTTGACTTATAATTTATTTTCTAGTAAGATGAAACATAAATTCTGAGAAGTTGTGCTCATATCACTTCTGATGCAGTAATAATTTTAAACAAAATGCGTCACCTGACCTACTGATTACATTATGATAATTTTTTCAACACTAAACTTTGTAAAATAGTAACGATCTGAACACTTCAAAATCATTTATGCAAAAGTAGTGATTTTAATTACTTGACCACGATAAGGTCATTATTCATTTCTGATTTTGAAGAACAAATTTAAGATTTATATACTTTGTAGTCGAAAGTAGACTTTCCTATTATCTATATAAATTATTAATATTGAAGAAATTAATTTTTTAATTCTTTCTATTAAACGAACTAATTATTCGCTAATTGTGGATAAATGCTTGATATATTAAAGTCAAGTTCAATCAAAAGATTATTAAATTACTTATAGAATTTTAAAATATTTTCATTACATTTTTTACAAGCATGCAATTTTTTGCTTAAATATAATTTTCTTGAAGATTTAGTAAAAATTATTTTCGAGCAAAAATCAGAGATTTGCTTAAAAAATTCTATACATCTTTAATAAATGATCTCATTGAATCTTTTTAGAAATGTTTAAAAAATTAATATTTCATATTTTAAACAGAAAGTTTAATACTTTTCAAAAAGTAATTTTCATTTAAAAGTTTTTTTGCAAATTAAGCACTTAATTAAATTATTTGCAATTTGAATTTGAACGAAAATAATTTTTAAATTTAAAATTATTGATAAAGGATTGAAAAATGATTATCACTGCTAAATTTGATTAATCAGTAATGAGTGTAGTTAGCTACTACTTTTTTTTTCATTATCTGATGCTCTAAAAACTGATATTGTCGTTTTTAGTAGGTATTTTGATAAGATTTAATTCTGATTTAGAAGCAAATTTTTGTTTCAAAAATTAAAACATCGAAAAGGGAAAAATTTAGATAATTTGGATGTGATTAATATTAATTGAACAGCAAAAATTTTGTCCAAATAATAGTAATTATTATTATAATTGATTTCAAAAAAAAACATTTCAGTTACTTAAAAACTTCAAATATGAATCATTTAACAAGAATATGCTTGAAAGAGTTATTTTTGTTAAGATAAAGTAAAGTAAATTTTGTGTTCAAAAGAAGCAATTATTTTTTAATGCCAAACTAAATTTGAGATATAAAAAATAACTTGGATTTTGAATTATTAATCTATTAAATGAGTTATAATTTCAAGCATATTACTGATTACAAATAATTATGCATATAATCGATATATCCCGATAACAGTAAATTTTATATGTTCTCAAATGGTATTTATTTATCACGCAGTTTTTCTCAGTTTCCCACAAATTGTATTACTAATTTTGTTTAGTTTGGAATTACCATTTGATAATAACCGTTGTTAAAATTTTTTCTCAAATGGTATTGTGTTTGATTATTCATTGCTATTAATATTAAAAAAAAGTATTGCTATGACCTCTAATTTGACCTTTGTTAAAAGTCTTCATATTTATCATTTCAGGCAACTGTTCGTCAGATATACAAAAAAAATTCTGAAAACAAAAACTTTTCGCTGTTAATTTTCAATACTTACTTTGAACTTTTGAAAAATCAGAATTTTTCAAAACAAACTACTTTCTCCATCAATTTACTTACATTTCAGCACAAAAATGTGCGCTTGTCTATAGAACTTTTCTTAAATTTTGTGAATAAAATTTTGTTAACTGAAAACTTTCATTTTATCCTTTCAAAAAATGTCAATTTTAATTAATTTGACCTCTGACCTATTTCATTAATGTATTTATTACTCAATGTAAAATTTTAGGGATTTTGAAAATCTCTGATCGAAATTGCATTGCAATATTTGTATTGCTATTCTGATGATTCTCAGAATGATGCAAAAATAATGAACTGTATATTTATTCTACATTTTCACTACTGCATTCTGACGAATTTTCGCAAGCATCTCTTCTTCTATAATTTTTGTTTTTAATCGAACGATTCACTTTTAGAAATTGCGAGATAAAACAATATAATATCTTCTCTCTTTTTCAGTAAAAATATTTAAGTAAATTAAATTATATTCGATTTTAAATTTGAGTAAATGAATTATTTTTTATTACACCCAAAAGAGTTATTTAAAAAGATTACAAACTGTCAAGCAGCAAAAAAAATATCAATTGAATGAGAAAACATTCACTACTCTGTGCATTATCAAAAGGTTTTTCATCGTACAGCAAAGTATTAATTTGAAAAAATAAAAAAATTTTCACCTAAAGTAGAATTTTATTTAGGAGGCAAAACGTAGTACTTAAAATTACAGCAATCTGAAACAAAAATATCTTTCAGGCTTACTTATGACTGATATTGCAATTAATTTTAAATTCAAAATTAAATTCAGTTAATAAGAATTCAATAAATGCTAATCAACAATTTAAGAATTATTATAAATTCAGCCATTTAAGCATTTCTAAGAAGCAAATTTTCACAGCATACATTTTTTGGTCGTATAAGCTTTCATAGTTTAGCTTAACAAATGTAATAGTTTAGCTTAATAAATGTGAATTTAAAATTTTTATAGCAATCTGTATTTTAGAAGCATTTTGGAAAAAACTTAGCGCATCTGGAAAGTATCAAAATGATACTAAGTGATGAATATAAAAACAGAATTTATCTAAAACTAATTTTTTGCATTTTACTAAAATTATTTTGTTAATAAAAACATTTTGCATATAAATTGCTTTTCGTAGAAGAATAGAGTAAAATATGCTTTTCGTCAAAAAATAATACTAAGCTATCAAATTTTCGTTAAGCATAAAGACTGAAATTTGTATTTATTAGAATATTTGAAAATAATATATTTTAAAGTTAGATTATTCTTAATTTCAATTGTCATAATATATAGCAAAGTTAATATTCTATATAAATTTAAATTTTGGTGAGAAAATAAATATTATTAATTTGAAATCAAAATTTAACAATTCAAACTTTTTAACAGAGTATCAAATTTTGCGAATATTTTTAATGATTTAGAAATGTGACGGAAATTGAAGTGAATTTTAAAAAGTTCATTGACACTATTTTGCACATTACTTCTTGTAAAAAATAATTCTATCCTTTTGGTTTTTTTTCAATTTGTACAAAAAATGCCTAATTCATTTTGTTTTTTAAAATTATTTTACTAAATATTTAATTCGCAATCTTAAAAAATAAAAAATAAAAATGCATAAAAGTTTTAAAAACAATATTTTATAATAATTTTTTTAATTAATCCAATTATTTTAGTTCAACAATTATGCAGAAAGCGACAACAGCTCGAGTTCAAATATTAGTGAAAAGAAAGCGATGCAATGAATGCTTCGCTGATTCAAGTTTTAATGCTTTCGATAGGTTTATATTTATTATTTTTATTAATTTTAAAATATTTGATATAAATTCATATATTTAAATTACTAACAATTTTTAGTACTAAATTTTATTGTAAATTTATGACTTAAACAAATTTTCAAATGTTTAGTTAATTAATATTCATCTAAAAAAATCTTACTGCACAACATTTGAATGATTCAAAGTATAATTCAAATATATACTTGAATGATTCTTTATAAAAGAGAAGATTACTAAGACTTGTTAAGTGGTTTATGCAAATTCTCTCAATGATATGATTCTTGTGAAGAAGGCAGCAGTAAATTTATGAATATAATTTTAAGAATACTTACTTACTTTTGACATTCACAGCTACTACTACTGGTCACGGACAACAGTTGTTCACTAGGAGAATTATCATTTTACGACTTGAAATATCAAACATTTAGCAAATTAAAGAATTCAATTTGAGTCCTTTATATTTTCTTTCAGTAATCAGCAAGCTAAGCTTAATCTCACCTCTCATAAGATTAAATTACACATGAATAACTGGTAAGATCGAGTTTTTATAATACTTCTTTTTTTCAATTCTGTTATGTAATAATTTTTCTGAAATCACAAATATCTCTAACTTTTCTCTATTTGACTTTATCCTTTGACCTCTAAAATATCTCTAACTATGCTCTATTTGATTTTATCCTCTGATCTCTAGAATATATTTTAAATGAGTTTTGCAAAATCTAAAATTAAAATCAAAGTATAATACGTTCAACATTACAAGGAATATTGTTTTTTTTTAAATTTAGTTTTCAAGAACTAAAAAATTATAAGTTCAATTGTTCTTGAATAAATAATTGAATTTCCTATGTTTTAGTGTGAGAAAATCAAAGATTTTAGCAAAAATAAATCTACAAGTAATAATTTACGGTAAAACTGGCAAGTAAAGAGTGAAATTTAGGGGACTTTATGCAAATAAATAGTCGTTTTTGCAAGTTTTCATTTAATTATCACTAATTACTAGGATGCATATTGTGAATTTAGAATGAATTGAGCAATCAAAAAATTAATGCATTATTTAGTAGCTTAAAAGCAGATAAACTAATAGCTAATGCTAGTTTACTTATTCTAGAAACTAGTTATAAGTTAGCCATCTTTGTATCGATGTACTGAGAAGCTTTCAGCTTTTCAAGATTGTTTTTTTGCTGCTTTGATAGTTAGTATTCTCATTATATTTGTATGTATGTATGTATTTATTTATTTATTTATTTATTTATTCATTCATATATTTAGTTGAAAATAAAAAAATACACCGATAAAAATATACATTTGTTTAATCGTATAAATCCTGATATTGATATGTTTAAATACGCTTAATTTTTAAGGATATATGATACCTGCTCAAACTTTTAAACAATATCTTTGATGCTTTAGTCATTTACATATTATTAAAAAATTTTTGAATTATTGAAAATAATTGTGTTTTATTATTAAAAGCAGATAATATTAAGCTGAAACCATCAAATATTAATGTAAGTAAATTTTTCAAAAAATTGAAGAAAAAAAAAGCGTTAGTTTTTAATAATTTTTCGAGCGCAGTTTGTGTCCTCAATTTTTAATGCTCAATTTACTACAACTTTTTTTCAATATTCTACCAAATTTTTGTTCAATATTGAATTCACTTCAACACAAATTTGCCCATCGTCCATTCATCAAATATTTGTTTATCTTTGCTTTTACTTACCACATTATTTTTTACCTTAACTATAAAAGAGTTTATTTAACGTTGCTAAGTATGCATTTCATTTATTTTCAGTACTAAAATTTACTTTTGTATTTTATCTGAATTGATTTTACAAAAGATTTTTTGGTTTAAATACTAAATATAAAATGTTTTTATCAGTAATGTTTATTATTTAAAGCATTTCCTGAAAAATATTTCATATTAATTTATCAAATTTGACTTTTTTCAATTGATGAAAAATTTGCTCATTAAGCATAAATAATTACCAAAAAAAAAGCTAAAATAAATGCGAAAATAAAATATGAATAAAACGAATTTTCTCAAAAGTTTTTTAAATTTAATTAAATAAAAATTTGCTTATTTGACTTATTTGATTAAATAAAATTGCAAATTTGTGTGATCAAAACAGATTTAATATGCAAAAATAAGTATTTCATTACTTTCGAGAAAAAATCTTTTTTATGTTAGTCATAATTTTTAATTTTTGCATATTTAACAAATATTTAATCGATTTTGGACAAATAATTGTTTGTTTGGTGTGAATCCAAGTTTATTTGTAAAATATACTGTTTATCTTAAATTTTGTGGTATTTTAATGCGCTTTCATAAATTGAAAAAAGTTACATTTGAGGAATTAATATACATATGATTAATATTTAATATTTTTTAGAAAAAATCCTTTGATTCTAAATAATAATTGAGTAATAATTTTTGTAAGATTAATATTTTATTTTTGTTATTCATACGTAACAAAAATACCTTAGTAGCTAAAACAGCATTGTTTTATCATTCTAAAGATGATTTCAGTATTATTACAGTTATAGTTACTATTTTAGATCAAGTTTTAATATTCGTAAATTTTTCCAAAAAAGTGCTTATATATTGTTTATTATTGATTTGACAATAATTTTGATTAGACCGAAACCGTATTCAAATACTGTAAGGTTGTTTAGAAAAAAAATTTATGTATTAAGTTTTTGTGGTTTTATTGTGATAATGAAATTATGGTTTTTCAATATTTGATCTTTTTTTAGATAATCAAATTAATGAAAAACTTCGAGCAAAGTTTTCAAATTGTAACTCTCATTGACTATAACATTCATGAAATTCGAACAATTTAATGAAAGATTGTATAATTTTAAATCGTTTGGACTTAATTTTAATTTCCAGCAAATAACAATAGATTTAGTGGATTAAATACAAAAATGTCGATCAAATCTAAAATCAGCTATCATAAACGATTTACAACATTATGCTTTTTGAACTCAGATCAAGCAGATCAAAATTTGGACGAGTATCGATGGTTTGTTAAATCCTACGATAATCATGCTAATCTTCAAGTCAACTACAGTCTCAAGTTTATTTATGAATAAAAAAATACAGACAGTAAAAAAATTGCAAATGGCTGATTTATATTCAAGTTTGAGTATAAATCAGAAGTTATCATTAGTGGTATTCGAGCAAAATGAGAAATTTTGTGGTTATTCATTGATATTTTAGAAAAATAATACACAGTTGCTTTTATATCAGTTATAGACCGTTAACATAGAACTTACTGATAACGATAATGCAAATATTATCAGTTAAAAGTAGCGATCGCTAATCTCATATTGCTTAAAACTTTTTCAAGTGTTTGCCAGACTAAGTATGATTAAAGGCAACCTGAATAACAAGCCTTGAGAATACTTTAAACTCCAATCTTTGGTTTAAATGTAATACAATAATAGATATGCTGCAAAAAGTTTGGACTAAAGCAAATACTCGAATTCAGTACTTTACCTTTACCTTGAAAGTATTTGTATTGAAAAATTCTTATTATTAAATCAATAATAATTGTAAAGATTTTTGGTTTTAACAATATTTATTTAGCACTTGAATTAAATACTATAAACATTTCTAATGAACTGTGCAAAGATTCTAAAATTCTTCATAGCGAAGAAAGTAAATTTGAAATTTTCATATTTTTCTGACTACTTAATTTTTGTACATTTTTACTAATTTTCTATTAAAAGGATTTAATGAAGTATAATAGTTTTTTGAATTTATATACCAAACAACAATTAAACTCCTTAAGTTCTTTCAAAATTAATTGTAAAAATACAATTTGAATTTTAAGTTAATATTTTTAGAAGTAGAATAATTGTGTGAATATAAAACGATAAAAAACTGTTAAAATATAAATAAATAATAAATTTGAGTAAACAAATAAATAGCAAATTTTTAAAAATGAATAAATTTAAGTAAATTAACTTTTGCAAAGCGAAAATTTTGCAAACTTTTATTCATTTTTGAAGGATTTCTTGAGAAAGCTGCTTATAATCCTTTAATTCAGTTTACTCTCAAGCATTTTGTCTTCTAAAAATTTATTTATTTTCGTTTTACTACAGAAAATCTTTTCAAATATTTTAAATAATTACTAGTATTATTTATTTTTTTATAATAAAACTTTTTATTCATCAAAACATTTTTTAAAAATTAAGCAGAAAAATTCCGCCGAGCTTCTTATCTTAATTATACTAATTAGACTAATTAAGAAAACTCAAATTTCGCTTCTTAAATATAATCCTTATCAGTGAGTTTTATCAATAATTTTTTATGCCTTATCATTTGTTGATAGTAAATCATTTATAGTGCTAGCAGTCATCAACAGCGATCTCAGGAACAAACCAAAACCTTCCTTATCAACGATCCCCAGCACTGTTCAGTTTCTGCAACCCTTTCATTAGACAGACCTAAAAAGCTATTCTTCGCTAAGGTATCGTTTGTTACTTTTAGCTTTTTTAATTTATTTATCGTCTGAATATTTGTTTTACTGCGTTATTTCTCTGTCTGTACTGAACTCTTTTTTCTACACTAGACTTAAGGATATACTTCTGACTCGATGGCAGTAGGTCATCAAATCTGATCTTAGACACAGCTTTGAGATGCATTCAGAATCATGACAGAGTTATTCAATCAAGAGAATTTCTTGATTTTAGCAACATTCCATAGAAGAATTTTGAATGCTCTTATAATTACAGCTTATTCTACTATCAGATTTAAAAAAACAGTTAAACTGAAAAAAATATCCATCCATAAATATTCTAGTAGGTAAAGTTATAACTGAAACATATATGTATATGATTAAATCGTTAACTTGAAATTAAAATAAAAACTATAATTAGAAGTAATCAAATTTTTTATGCAATAGAATTCCAATCAAACGATCAAAAATATATTTAATAATTAATAATCGTAAAAGACTTTGATCAATATTTTATTCAAATTAAGTAATTATTTTAAGTGATTTACCAATTATTTCAAAGTTGAATAGCTTTGAAAAAGATTACTGTAGAAGAAATGTTCAGAAAAAATTAATTTTTCAATATTATATGAATCAGTTTTGCACTGTACAATTATGATTTCAATTTAGCTAAATTTCATTAATTTTTTTATTAAGTTTTATTAAAGTATATTTAGTGTTCAAATGTGCTTTTAAATTTAGTAAACTGAATAGAAACTAGCACAAACCTGTAGAAAAAATATTAAATTCTAATTCATTCCAGTAATTTCATTATATTCGAATTAATTAATTTCATTACTATTTTATATTTATAACGAATGCAAATTTTATTATAATATAATGATAATTGGAAATCGCGGATTAATCTAATATTGACTTGAATTTATCGTTTGACTTTTGACTTACGACGGTAATATCAGTCAAAGATTTTCGCATCACATTTATCTTTATAACTGATCCAATTTATTATCATTTCTATGTATATACTTTTATGATAGTTATTTATATCAGCATTATTATCAATATTACTGTCACTGTTTGTTTTCGTAGTTGTAAGTAATTACAGGCGAAAAAACCAGCGAAAAGTTCGGCTACAGCAACATTTCAAGTTGGCTCGATATCAAATGAGCAAAGTTTGGAAAATGTAGGAAGTAATTTACTGGCAACAAAAAATACTTGCAAGAATTCTTTTGTAAACAAGCAACATTCAGAATCTCAAGATTTGCAAGTTGTGATATCACAACAGCAAGACATTCTAAATCCTTCAGTTTCAACAAATGATAATTCAGATATAATTTGTAAAGCCAAATATTGTGACATGACACAAGATGATGCTAATATTAACGGATATGAAGCTAATTTTTCCCAGTCTACGTCGAATTCACGTGAATCGGTTGTTAATGGAGGGGATTGTTCATCTATACATAGCATACAATCACAAGATGGCAATAATACAAAATATCAACAGAATAACAGTCGTAGTAGTGAAAATCGCGAATCATTCGGGAATAGACTTAGTCGTGGATTTCTAGATTTTACACAAGGTAGTAGTGATCGACTTCAAAAATGGAAAAATAAACTACAACATGGCCAACGACATAAGGATTCTAGTGAACCACCACCTGTTAGCAGGTATACTTATATATCAATTAATTATCATAATGTTTATTTTATTCTCTTCAATTTACTATTCAAAAAAAATTATGTAAGAATAAACTGCTATAATGGAAATAAAATTTGAATTCATGAATTGCATATGAAGAAAGTAATAAACGCTTTTTTAAAATACCTTTCATTAATATGAATATTTAAAATGCGCGGGCAATCTTCGCAAGCCCTTATCATCATTTTAGACTAACTAAAATCATTAAAATTACAAAATAAAGTAAAAATTGCTGTTCAGACAAAATTTGATATTTTAGCAAAAACAAAATTTTTATTGTAATAAATAATAAAATCTTTTCATAAATACTTTAAATTAATATTTAATTTATCAAAAATTTAAGATAAATATATCAATTCTTGTTTGTTTCTATTGCTTTTTGACACAAAAGAGGAAATTTTTCTCAATATTTTTTTCGTTTCATTCATCTATGAATTCAACAATTCAATCATTTTAATTTATTTCATTCCTCTATTTCTTGTTAAAAATTATCCGTTTTATATTTGTATTTGAATTTAATTATTCTCACCTTATTATTTTATCTCTTGACCAGAACTAAAATCAGATTTGAAAAGGTTAACTAATTTATGAATTCAAAATTAAATTATAAATTATTCTGTAAGATTATATTTGCGAAAGCAATTAAGTCATAATCAGTTTCAAATTTTCAAGTTCTAAAATAATCAACGTGAAAGCTAATATAGTTTCTGGCAAATGCACCTTTTATCAAATAAATGTAAATATTAAAATTTAATTGTACATTCTTCAAGCTTAATCAGTGTGTAGGAATAGTCTGTGCTAAACTGTTGCAAATTACTAATTGACTTATCCGAGATACTTGCTTAAGTCTTGTTTTACATTACTTACCTCGCATTCTATTGAAATAAAATCAAAATTAGCTTTCTGGAATATAAAAATTTGTTTATTAATTGCAGATATTAAAAAAGTGTGACCAATCAGTTTGTTATTATATTTTGACCTATGAACTTTTTGAATGATATATATGTATAAATATGAAACATGAGAAATTACTAATATAAAAATAATAATCAAATATTATGATGATAAGATGGCTGGAGTTAGACTATTATAAAATCTTATTTGCATTTTTATTAATAGACTTATTAGTGAGCAAGTAAAAATTCAAAAATTGTCAGTTTTGAAAAATTTACTCTTACAATTTCTATAAAAAAACAAAAATTATAATAATAGAAATAAAATTAGCATTAGATAACAAATATTCACGGATGTGATTGAATACCTTTCAGATTATTTTGTTCTGCTTGGTGACCTTATTAATTTTAGGTTCAGCTCACTGTAAATTTAATTTACTCTAAATTAAGCATAAATGTGAAAAACTACTGAAGCAGAAGTTCAAGAAATACCATGTGAAATACCATAACTTAAGAAATACTGTGTACTTAAATTCAAATAATTTGTATTAAAC